GATCACCGTGACAGCCGTGCAAAGGAATGCACAGTTTTCTCCTTCTTGCCTTCTTTCGATTGACTTCGGGTTACGTCACACTTTGCATTCATCCTTGTTACAGAGTTCATGCTAATAAAGACAAATTTCCCTTAATGATTCTCCAAATATGCAAGCGTCGGCATTGAAAATACCAAGACTTTGATTATAGGCATCTTTTGAAAGTTATCTAGACATAGTAGTTGTAGTCCTCCAAAACAAACTACTTTTAAGAGACTCCAATAGCACGAAATTGAGCAGAAAGAATAAAGGATAATCTTTATAGTATGGATGCACTAAGCTGGATAAATTTAAGTTCATGTAGATGATAAAAAGTTGCAACCATTGGTGCAAGAAGCAGTCTGCAGACACAAACAGTAAGGCTACAAGGTAAAGGAAAATATTGCGGAATGTTCTGCTCACAGCTAAAGTCCACTTATTACTCTCTGGTAATAGCTTTATCTTGCCATGCATATTGAGGTGAAGACAATGTCTGCCAAGGGGGTGTTGAGGGACAGAGCCCCCCCATCAACCCCTCCTCCTCCTGGATGCCCAGTCACAACTTTGTGCAATATATTCTAAAATGAAAGCCAACCTAGTCCCTATTCCAAGGGGCTCAGCCTTGTAGACCCCCTGAATTCATTATAATAAGTTCTGATCATAAACATTGCCTCAACCATTCAGTCTTCATACAATGTGTTCAAGCCCTATACCCACCTAGTCCCTGACCTTAGTGGATACGGATAGAATTTCACTACTGTGAAGATTTAGCAATGAAATTGTATGTTTGAGTCTGGAAAATTATGAAGTAGGCCAACAAAAGGATATTTCTTGAAACCAAATTATGGTCCCTATTGATTTATGTTGCTTGCTCTCATTGTAGGGTTGAATTTTTAGGTGTAATATTTTTGAGAAATGTCTATTAATCATGATTCAGAAAGAAAACAATAAAAAAATTAAAAAATGCTAAAAGTTTTATGTTGTATCCATGAATATCTTATTAATATGGGACAGTTTTGTTGCATTTCTTCTTATGTTTTAACCTTGTTTTTATTACAGTTGAGGGTGGTCACAGAGCCATCATCTTCAGCCGTATTGGAGGAGTGCAGCCAGATATTTACACTGAAGGGTTGCACTTCAGGGTTCCATGGTTCCAGTACCCTGTAATCTATGACATCAGGTATGAAATTATTATAAGCTTATTTTGTGCCAAATTTTGGTAACAGTGCTATTTTTAAGTGGAATAGGAGAACTAGATGAGGATGATATTGTTATTATTATTATTTTTTTTTTTCCAGGGCTCGACCTAGAAAGATTAGCTCACCCACAGGTAGCAAAGACTTGCAGATGGTGAACATTTCCCTTAGGGTCTTGTCACGCCCTGTAGGGTCTGCCATCCCAAATATCCACCAGTCCTTAGGGCCAGACTTCGATGAGAAGGTAAGGTTTTGTATATTTACTAATTCATTTGTTTTAATGCAAATCTTTTTTTTTTTCCCCAACCTTTTCTTTCATGGCTTGAATATTATAATTTCTTAACTAAACATTGACTTAATTATCTATTTCTAATTTATTTATTGGTTAGCAGCTGTGTTTATATGTGATCTTATGATATGTAAAATGTTTATGTAATCAATGGTATTTTTATTCTTATCTTTACAGGTGCTTCCATCTATTTGCAATGAAGTCCTCAAATCAGTTGTAGCAAAATTTAATGCTGCCCAATTAATCACAATGAGACAGCAAGTAAGTCAAGCATCAGTACCTTACATTGAAAAACCCACTATACACAGAACCTATTTTGCTTATATTAGGCTTTCCTGGCATTGCACCAACATGATATCATTTTCATTATTCAGTAATATTTTTGCATTTGTGAATAGTCATGTTTACACTTTTTTTAACTACTGCCAAATATAAGTTATAAAGCACAATGTATTTTGTTGCAAGAGAAAAGCCAAATAAAGAGAAGTATGTGACCAAACACAAGTTTCAACTTTTAGAGTTTCTCACCTGTATTTCTCCTGTAGGTCTCTTTGATGATCCGACGTGATTTGACTCAGAGAGCAGAAGACTTCAACATAATCCTCGATGACGTTTCCATTACTGAGCTCAGCTTTGGCAGAGAATACACCAGTGCTGTTGAAGCCAAACAGGTAAATGTCTTTAAGTGTATATCTATAAAATCAGTAAATCAGCTCCAGCCAAAAATGTGATTTTTGCACAAGTTATAAGGGAAAGCAATTATTTTGTGCCTTGTATTTATACCAAGTCATTTATTTATGACAAACGTGCCATATAATGCCTTATTTGTACATGTAATAAGAATGCTGTCATTTTGTCTCTTGTATTTATACCAGTCATTCTTTGTTGTCCATAGGTGGCCCAGCAAGAGGCCCAGCGAGCCTCTTTCATTGTCGAGAGAGCGAGACAGGAGAGGCAGCAGAAGATTGTGCAAGCTGAGGGTGAAGCTGAAGCTGCCAAATTGATATCCTTTTATTGCACTAGATGATGATACATGTGAAAAACTAATATATTTCATAGTTTTTTGTATTACTTTATTTCAGGAGGGAAGTGAGGGGTCATATCACTTACTTCCATAAGGAAAACTTGCCTTTTTAAATCAAAGGAAATTATATGCATTCAGTGTTTGGACCATGTAATTAGATGCAAGGTGCACCCCCTGTTCCCATACTAAAGCCCATCACTGTAATGTAAACCTCACTCATCATACCCCACACATTTTTAATTTGAACAGTGATATCTAGCTGTTAGGATTGGATTAAATTTCATGCCAGCAGTTGGCTCAGGAATTTGACTTGCTAGAAGTAATTTGAGGACAAGGGCTGTACACCAGGTTGACTGTTGGGAAGTATCTTTGTCAATTAAAGTCTTGCTTTCATTGTCATCTTATGATGATATAATACCAGTCTAATGGTTTTGTAACTGACTGTAGGAGAGAGTTAAGAACTACCATTTCCTGATACCTGCTAGACATTTCAAAATGTTTTCATCAATAGGGGATTATATAAGTTAGTATTTTTTATATTTTTTATAGGGGATTGCAATGCATTGATCTATTTTTTTAGCAGCCTTGTACCTTCTTTAGCTTTTATTCTTAGCACAAGGGGCTGCCATAGAAAACTTCACCTAAATGTTGAAATACATTGGACAAACCAGACTTGAATTACAGTTGGCAGTTGTAATGTACAACTTAATGATTTAATTTCCTTAAAAAAAATTTAGTCAGCACTAGCCTTTAGTTATTTTTTATTTTCTTCATTATTTCTTTTATATATTTATTTATTTGTTTGATATTTTAGACTTTAGAAGAATTTTCCTTAACTTTTTCTCACATTGGTAATGCCATTGGGTTGAATCCAGGTTACCTGAAGCTTCGAAAGATCAAGGCTGCTGCTAGCATCGGCAAGACAGTAAGTTAAAAGCTTCTAAAGGAAATGAAATGCATATCATGTGATTTGAATTTAGATTTAGATTAAAATGTATATAAGAATAGAAAGTAGTTGGTAATATTTGATGCATTTGCCTTTCAGATTTCTCAGGCACAAAACAGAGTGTATCTTGGTGCTGACACACTGATGCTCAACCTGAATGACAAGGAGTTTGATGCCAGCGCACACCGTGTGACCAATAAGTAAAACAGATGTTTAGCCAAGAAATATGAAAGTTAATGGGCAGTAGAGCAACTACAGTGTATTGAAGACTTTTTGTCAGCCATGCTATAATTTGAATTAATTTCTCCTTTTATGATTTTTTTTTATAGAAAAGCTCATCAGTATGTACCCCAGTGCTTTGATTTGCAGATACATGTTTTTCCTCTTCTCTCACCTAGGTGTTAGAAGGTTAGACAACCATACTGGTTTACTTGCCTTCAGTGGATATGTATGGAAGGATTTAAGTTTTGTTAGTTTATAGTAATAAACCTTGTTTTGTACATGAAAAGTTGAGAGATTCGTGGATATTTTCAGACAAATGTACATATGTTATGAATTCATTTGTCAAAGATGTATATAGATAGAAACAAATATGGGCATCCACTTTTTTGCAAATAAATGTATAGGGAAAGTTCCTCATCTTTTTATTCCCTAAAGACTTTCCAATTAATGAAAGAATAATGAATTCTAGTACAAGACATCAGTATGCTGTAGCACAAGATACTGTTCTTTTTGAGACCTGTCATATTGCATTATGGGGGACAGTGAAGTCTTTCTTTTACGGGAGTGCTCCCTCCAATCCCTTGGCCGTTGTTGTTTTTGGGGGCCTACCTTGTGGCTCAGCCCTTACCTATACTAACTTTGCAATTTTCTTCTGTGTCAGTCATGAACGGCCTCTTATCTTGCCCACATGTTTCAGGCTTACTATGGCCACTAATAAAGAATTTGTACCCTTATTTGGGGCACTGAGGCTTGCCCCTATATCAAATAGCCTCTCTGAACTAACTCCTCTGGTTTACCGAACCTTGTGACTATCTTTTGATCACGGCTCCGACCACTGCTGTTACATCCACCCCCCCTTCGACATGTGCTGTCAACTTAACCCAACCTGAATCATCTACCGAAGTTATAACTCAAACAGCAAAAGACACCCTCACTCCCAATATCCTCTAACCCACCTCTTGCACAATCATTTTCTACCTCCTCCTCCTTTATTACAACTTTTCAACCTTATTGCCCACATCCTCGCAGTTACTGTCTCACTCCACACCACTCCCTCCTCCTCCCGTCCTCGTCCCTCAACACTTCCCACTTGTACAAATGTTTTAAGTACTCTAGCCCAGCTAAGTGTGGCCGATTTTTTGTAATTCCCCCAACAACCCCTTATTCCGGCAATACCCTCCTCTTTCAACAATGTCTGCAAAACCAAGTAGGCAGTCGCCCTGATCGCTCATGCCTTGTCACAGTAACATCCGAGTCTCAAGCCCATGCACTATCTACCCTATTCCTGCCCAACCCCACTACTCCCTTAATACATGTACTGGGATTGTTGCCATCTCCCCAGCTGATTGCCCAGTATATGACAAATATTGGCGAAATTGTGAAGGCGACCAACTTCCCTGCCTTGCTGACTACGATCCAGTGTCAGTACAGTGCCATATTATTCCCCCCAGAGGCCTCCGTAAGTCCCACATAATATTGCCAAAGTTCCCATTCGAAGACATATCATGAACCTTCCCCATAAGGTCTATATAGGAGGAATAATCGTGCCTTGTCAGAACCATATCACACTCAACTACTCCACTCCGTCATGTCCCAAATGGCGCTTTGGCACCCTGCAAGCAAACTGGTCGCTCCACAGACCCGTGTCCAACCTGGTATCATTGCCGTTCCACACTTGCCCAGCCAATCCGTACATGTACCAATGGTAGTGGCTCCCACATGTATTTTATAGAGGCTGCCTGCCCTGAGGTAGCAATTCCCAGATGCACAACTTGGTCTCACTCACGAGGAGGCCAGACAAAAGCACGCAAAGGAGGCTTTTAATCACTCTCTGCTCCAATACCATCTTCACTCCACTCTTATCCCCCTCTCCCATGAAGTCTCTTGTACCACTTCCCCCTACCCTTCAGCTTCCCATCTCTACTTTCCTCTTCTCCATCTCCTTGTCAAACCCTTTTTCCCTTCGAAATCAGATACTCCAGCATCCAAAACTGCCCTATGTCCCTCCCTTATCCTCGCCTACCAACGTTCCAATCTTCTTCTACCGCATCCCATCCCCACACCTAATCCAAAACCCCTCAGAGCCTATCTTCTCTTCACCTCCCTTATAAAAAAAAAATTTGTTTCCCAAACCTCCCCACCCAAATCCCCTCCAGAAACCCTTGAGGACATTAAATAGTTCCTAAGCATGACCCACAAGAAAGTTCCTCTCTCTCATACATCCAATTTCTCTACCCCAATTCCGGCTAAATTCAAAATGACTGCCGACATTCCTCCTCCTCCTCCTCCTATGCATCCCTCGCACCTCCCGACCTTACACTTCCAGGTGTGTTCCATGGTGGAACGTAGAATGTACTAAAGCACTTCAGTTGAAGCGTGCAGCTTGGAATAGCTATCAACACAAGAAAGACATCCCCGGTCAGTTAACAGCCCTCATATCATTTAAAAAGGCATCAGCCCATCTTCGCCGTACAATCCGTAACTCCATGACAAAACCTGGCATAATTTCATCTACACCAGTCTCTGCAGTCTGGCGCCGGATCAATAAACTATCAGGAAAACATTCTCCTCATTCTACCCCCGTCTTCCATATCCATATTAGCCTCATCTCTGACCCTCTTCAAGTAATTACTGAACTTGGCACCTATTTTAGCCAGGTCAGTAGCGGCTCTCACCTTTCTCCTCTGTTCTCTTCTATAAAATCAGACAAAGAACGTACTTCCATCTCCTTCTCCCTCTATGGAATCTTATAATGAACCTTTTTCTTCTTTTGAAATCTATTATGCATTACAGTCATGCTGCAACACCCACGAAGGCCCAGGCGGCATACATTACCGTATGTATGTTCCTACCTTCTATCAATATTCAGTGACATATGGACAACCGGAAACTTTCCTCCCCACTGGCGTAAAGCCCCTGTACTATCTTTCTTATAACCAAACAAACCATAGCACTCACAAGGTGTTTATGCAAATTACTAGAAAGGGTGATTAACATCCGGCTTTTCGGATTTCGGCGCGGCCTAAGCACAGCTAATCCTCTTGCATACTTCGAAACACAAATCACATCAGCATTTGCACGCCGTGATTCAGTATTAGCTGTCTTTTTCGATCTAGAAAAGTCCTTTCTTTCTGATCGCACATCCCATGTCAGATTTGCCTCTTCCACACTGCCTCGTGGAACACACGGCAGTGAAAACATTCCTTCCTCTCCCAACATTGTCCGCATTGTTTTTTCAACCCTCTCCTCCCATATTACTATTCTTCATCCTTATTGTCCTCCTCCCTCCAGTATTACCTCACTCTACTCTTTTTAGCCCAGCCAAATGGGGTCGATTCTTTGTAATCCCCCTACAGCCCCTTACTCTGATAACACTCTCCTCTTTCAACAATGCCTCCAAAATACAAGTAGGCAAAGTTTCCTTCCGCAGCCGTTCCGATCGTTCACGCCATGTCACAGTTACTTCTAAGTTCCAGGTTCAAGCATTATCTACCCTGACTGACTTCACTAGTAAGCCTATTCTGCTACTCCTGACCCCTCCCTTAATACTTGTACCGGAACTGTCTCCAACTCCCGAGATGACTGCCCTGCCTACGGCAAGGATCGTTGACTATGATACAGTATCAGTACAATGTTACACTATTCTCTCCAAAGACCGCCGTAAGTCCTACATCAATATTGCCAAGATTACTTTCCGAAAGTATGACCTCCCCATGATGTTTATATTTGCGAAGAATCCCTCCCAGTCCAACCATATCACCCCCCCCCCCCCGGTCGATGTCAGAATTGTGGCGTCTAGGCCATTCTGCCAAACACTGTCGCTCCACAGCCCACTCTTCCCTATGTGCCCAATCCCGTCATGATAATTCAAACTGCCCTACGCAATCACTCACTTGTACCAATTATGATGATATATTTCATAGGGCTCCGCCTCCCCCCCTACTCCCCAAGATGTTTCTATATTTCCCTTAGCATCTCTTCTTCCTCCTCCATGCATTTCTCGCCTACCCTCTCCCTCCCCCAGTCATTTTTTTTACCATTCCACATCCAGGCACTCCAATCTCACGAGGGCCCAGACTGCATACATTACCGTATGTTATGACACCTTCCACGTACTTCCGTATGAATTATTTCTGATTCTGCATTCTACTGGAATATCATAATTCACAATCTTTAGCGTAAAATGTCAGTTATCATATATAAAGACAAAGACAATAACTCGGGATTCTGTTTGCCTGACCGAAAATGTCCGAGTGGTACTTAGAAATAGTTCGACAGAAACAAGTCAGAAGTGAAATTTTGTATAAAGCAAAGCTAAGGCCATATCGCTGTGTTATATTGTAGATCTACACCTAAGGATGTTAAAATCATAAATCGCATTTTACAAGTGCCTCATAAATATGACTGTCTGGTTTTACTAGCTGATTAGTATAGGAAGAATGTGGGCGATATGCCATGAGTTTGTTAGTTTGGCGCTTCCAATACGCTTCTACTTCATGGTCGTCCCCTGTGGCAAAGTTTGCGTTACAGTCCAGACGTTTCCATGGTGGGTAGGAATGCCGGTTGGAAAATTTCAGCGCTACTTGTATAACTGCTTGGCAAGTGCAAATTCGAAACCGAATTTCCGAATGTATGATGTTTTCAATATTGCAAACCATTTTTTTCTTTTTCTATTTGATCTAAAGTGGTCCATGACTATGATATACATGTATAGCTGTTGAATGCAAAGACAAAGCTTCGCGAAGAGTCTCTTTTCGCTTGTTTGATGGTTCTGCGAGCTTTAGCTCTGGCATGCTTATAGTCGTGAAAGTTCTCATCAAAATATGAGCACTGGAAAACTTTTAGGCCTTATGTCGGTCACACGGTGCAAGGCGGTAATAGGTCCATCTTGGAACTAAGTTTAACGCTCTCTCTCGAAGTCTTAGGGATGGATGCTACCTAAGAAAGACTCATGGACATTTGGATTAAAGATGAAGCTGGGGTGGGGGGGGGGGGAGGATATGCCAATGAAATGGTTGATCATAAAGCAATTAGAAAATAAACAGCGGACTTCAGGACTATGGAAACAGAAGCAACTGGGGGAAACAGCCAATTTAAAAGTTCTTCTACGTGTTCTAAATTTATACTCAACTAGGAAAGTATACATTCTGATATTCGTGGAGTGCAAAATTCCTACAAATCGCAAGTGTTGTTATTGTTTAAAACATAAGAAAGAGAAGAATAGGCTGTCTATGCTTGACCAATATTCCAATATTTTGTAATGAAATAAAAATATTCCCCTTCGAAGGAAAAATGCAGTGGAAGAGACGGAGGAGAAATGATGAGGTAATCAATGAAGCAAAGGAGAGTTTCTTGAGGACAGAGTAAGATAAAGTTCTACACAAAGACCTAGACATGCTTTACTCGATATTGTTTGACAGCTGTGATATGAAGTAGGAGCTCGAAGAAAACATAGATATTACGAAAATTATTCAGAGGACAAGCATCATAAGCAGCACATGAGAAATTCAGAGCAGAGAGAAATTTTCCATCGTATATAAAAGTAAGACTAAAAGAGAAAATAAAAATTGTCGTCTTTAAAGCTGAAAACATTGGCTTTATTAAAGAAAAAGAAATGTGCGAAATCCAAGATATATTTTTTTTACACAAATAAACTACTAAAAAATGTCGATAAATGACATGTACGCATACTTCCGAGGCCTAAAACCTTGTATACATATTTACAGACATACACACATACACAAACACATACATAATACATATACATATAAATGCACATATACAGACAGCCAAACCTAACATTTAGGTAACTCAACCGACCCCCCCCCCCCCGTCCCATACACACGACAGTCACTTGTTTCAGGATCCAAACGTCTATAAATGTTTATAAACGTTTATTTGGTTTCGCCACTTATAGTCCCACAGCGCAGACGGAGTTGGCCAAGACGAGAGTAAACGCAAGGTATTTTAATTATATTTTAAGTATTACTGACCCAATTGTATTGTTATGAATACTCCTTTAGAAAGATTATATGTATCTGCTTCTTTTTTAGGTCAGGATTTTGCGATAACTTTAGTGAAATACTATATTTTTTGGTATTTTTTTGGCTGAAGCTTACATTGGCAGTGTTAAATAGGAAAACCTAGAAATTTCAATTAGAGTATTCTTGGACGTTATGCTGAGTATAAAAGAATTTGGGGTAAATGTTTAGATGGCCCGCAATTGCAAATCTTAAAAATTTTGATTATAATGGCTCTTTTCTATTCTTATTCCCTTGAAACCTGCTGTGATCTGGGATTGTCAACCTTCCTCATTGCATATTCTGGGGAAATAGTAATTGGATATGTTTCTAATTTGCTTATAAATCACTAGGGGAGGTCAGGAAGTTATAATTTATCAGAGTGTACGAGGTGGAAGTTTGCTGGCCTTTCCAAGAGCGCCAGTATGTAATGTATGCCATTGGTAGACGCACAGCTGCCATCATAACATTTACCAAATTACTCTTATTATTAGTTTGTGGTAATAGTGTCATAGATGGGAAGTATTATTAGAATAAACCCATTGACTCGGGTATTAGAAATTTGCTAGGGGCCATTAATGCGGGTTTATTGGTACACATTGGCAGCTTCCCTTGTTAGCACCTGCCTTGTTCAGTACTTCAAGCTCAACATTAGGCATGTAATAGCTTGTAGGTGTATTTTATAAGAAAAGTTTTAAAAGTGAAGATTTCCCCTCCACTATAAGTGCCTGCGCAGGATATATCATTATGCTGTTCAATTCACTATTCAGTCCCCCACAGCCATCGGATGATATTAGGCTTTCTGTAATCAGTGGGTTAATCATTACCTCATGCATTCTTGGCGTATTTGTCAGTCTGCATAACATTTGGTGCTTTTGTGTAATTTTTCTAATGTCATTTCACAAGCATTTCTGATTAGTGGTTAATATTAAATGCATTACACTGCAATGTGAATTTCACCATGACGTAAAGCTTTTGAGTGTGTTGATACACATCTAACTTGGCCCGCAAGTTAGCCCTTCTCTTTGTTTAGACAAACCTAACCAAAATGATTAGTTTTATATTAGTTTATTTTATATTAGTTTTATATATAAAGGCAAAAATAGTCAGCACATGAACTGTGTTCATTTTGACAAATGTAGTAATGGTATGAATGAAAATGAATATCTTCAAAATGCAAGAGAACTTTTTGACTGGACTTGATTATATCTTAGTGAGAATTTCATATAATGCTGACAAAGATATATTCGAAGCTGGTCAGATACATCTGTTGCACTGTGAAGATATTGATTCTCATTCATACCTTTTCTACATATAGTTGGCACATGTTCATTAAAAATGACTAGTAGAACAGAGTTCACTTATAGGATGCAGAGCTAATTTGATTCCTTGCGAATAGTCAGAATTTCAATTTATTACTTGCCAAGGACAGAAAAATGGCCATTTTAAGAAAGATGTTGATCTAGAAAGTTTTTATTGCTTCATCTAACAAATATTCACTCATGCATATATTCACATAAGTATGCTTGAACACTCAGCTATTTAAGTTTGTAATTCCTACATCCATTTATCTATGTATAATAATAATGAATTGATAATCATTACAATTAAAAACAACTTTTTTTTTTGCAGCATGAACACACCAGATGGGTCAGATTCACCAGGTCAGATGGCCATAGAAGTGTCACAAAACAACATGGAAGTCTTCAAGAAACCTATTCAGCCAGCTCCTCGGAAGAAGAAAAAAGTGCTAGATGAAGAGAGTTATGTCAAGGTTAGATAGAAGTTCCAAGCTTAATTAACATTGACAATTTTGTTTTTACCTCCTTAATTATTAGTTTGTCAGTCTGTTGAGTGTATTATGCTTTGTAAAATCTGTTGATATTATTGTTCACTGGTGCTGGGTACTTGCACCATCCACTGTAATTTTCTTAATTATGTTTATGCACACATAACTTCACAAATAAGTAGTCATCACAGAGTGATTCCTAACTCTGCCTGTTTGGCATATAAATTTTTTTTTGCCTTGGAAAAAATTACTATTTCATTGTTTTTACCATTTTATAGATATTTTTTTAAACTAATTAATATTGTTGTCATTATCATTATCATAACATTATTATAAATAACTTTCCTTCCATTGTGACTTTGAGCTAATAAAACAATACCATATGTAACAGTATACTCATGCACACCTGACATTGGTATGTTAAAATCATTATTAGACAATATGTTTTTCGTTTTCTATTTCAGGAAGTGGAGAAAATAATAGAGAGAGATTTTTTCCCTGACCTGGAAAATTTGAAGGACAGGCTAGAATACTTGGATGCCAGAGAACAGAATGACATGGTCAAATTAAGGGAACTTTACTCCAAATACTCCGCTGGGAAGGAAACGCCTGTCCTCCGCAATGTTGAGGAGAGTCCAGCAACATTTGAGACTCCCTCTGAGAGCCGAGGAGATGCAACACCCCGGATGGCAAGTGCTTTTGGAGAAGGGTTGGAAACGCCAGAGACCAATAAAAAAGACAAACAAAGTGACAAGAGCTCTGTGAGTGGGAAAGAGATGTCGCTGGATGAATTCCTTCAAAACCACACAAGTGAAGATAATGAAAGCTTTGAGCAGATAATGGAGAAGAGTGAGCAGCGCTTCAGGGCCAAGGTATGAAGTCATACTTTTGTGATAAAACTTGGTTGTAATTATAGACAGTTTGGAGAGAGTGGGTGATACTGACCCCCCTATAGGAGGTGGAAAGATCTGGGGGATGGTGAGGTAAGAGGCTACTTTAGGGGCATGACCAGTGAAATTGTTAAATAGATTGGTTTACTAACTTTGGTTTTATTTGTGAAATATATCTTTGTGTTTAATCTTGTTTTCAATTTGAAGCATACAAAAAAAAAAAAAAAAAAAAAATATGTAGGAAGGGAGAGAGTGCTAGGAATTCACCTGGAAGCCAAGTGGGTGCCAGCCTGGAAAAGTTTGGGAACCACTGCTGAACCATAAATTTTCTTTTTGGCAATTTGGATTTTTTTCTTCTGTCTTGCCATTTTTTTCTTTCAACTGGAGCTAAGTCCAAGTTATTTTTTATTTTTAGATATGTCTTGTTTTTTACATTGACCTAAATTTCTAGACTTCAAATTTATAGTTCAGCTGGGTACTGTGGGCTGATTTGTGTGGGCAGTAACCTGTTTTTATTCTTTCACCCATATCCTTCCCTCAAATTAACATACTGAGAGGTTCTGTAGTGGTCCTGATAATCATTGAAGATTTTTTTCTTATTTTTCTCTCTCTCCTTACAGTACTATTGGATGTTTGATGCAGAAGAAAAACACAACAAGGAACACTTACCAAATCTTGCCCTACCAACGACTGAGCAGCAAGCTCAAGCCTCAACCTTGGCCATCACAGGCACCTCAGTGCAAAATGATACCCGGCCCAAGCAGGTGGAAAATTGGAAATTTGAAACGTTCAACTCTGTCATGTTTGTGCCTGATGGTGAGTCTTGAGAATGCTGATCTCTACTTTGATGGCTATAATTGTAATAGATGAGATATATGATACTTTCTAGTGTTTATGATGGTAATATGCCATTGCAAAACAAGATAGTAATAGCATTATTTATGATTAAAATTAACTTTATTTTGATATTTCCTTCACAGCGGCACCTCTATCAAAGGCAAGATCAGTAGAACTTGCGAAACAGAAGAAGCGGGAAATAAGCCTTTCAAACACCAGGTTTGAGGGCAACCCCTTTACTGAGACCTTGAGCCAAGCTGCAATGATTGAGGCGTCAGCTATCCAAGCCAGCAAAAAGGAGGGCAAAGTGGGAGTGGACGGTAAGCTCTGAAGATTACGTATGGAAAGTACATACATACATACATATACATATGTGTATATATACATATGTGTATATATACATATGTGTATATATATATATATATATATATATATATATATATATATATATATATATATATATATATATATATATATATATATATATACACATATGTATATATATGTATGTATATATACATATGTATATATATAGTATTATATGTATTATATGTATTTATATGTATGTATATATGTATATATATATATGTGTATATATGTATATATTTATATATGTGAATATATATATGTATATATATGTATGTATATATATGCATGTATATATGTATAAATGTATGCATATACCATGTATATGTATGTTTATATGTTTATATATGTATATATATGTATGTATATTATATATATGTATAAATATGTATATATATGTATATATTTGTGTGTGTGTGTGTGTGTATATGTGTTTGTTTGTTTGTTTGTTTGTTTGTCTGTGTGTGTGTTTGTTTTTGTGTGTTGTTATTTAACTCAAAATTGCATTGAAAATTTTTGCAGGCAAGGAGCTGGGGAAGGACACCCCAAAGGTGAACGGCTATAGCTTCGTGACGGCCCCATCTCCCATTCCGGGGGTGGATGCCTCGCCCCTCATGACGTGGGGTGAGGTTGAAGGAACTCCTTTCCAGCTGGATGGCAGCCAGACCCCGCTTTTGAAGAAACACACTCCTGGGCCTACGTACAGGATGCCTAAGCTTCCCAACAGGTTAGTTTCATTATGGTTTAGAGATTACTTTGTTTACAAGCTAGTATAGAAAGAAACATTTTTGATCAACCATTTGATGAATCTGGGACTACATTATCTCTACAAGATGCAGGCATTTTTTCTCTGGTTTAAGCATCTTAAGACATGCCTAATGGAGAGTTTGTAATGTAAAATTATACAATTACACAAAAAAGTAATCCCGTTGTTGAATTCTAGGGGAAACTGTAATTTGAAATTAGTATTCCAAAGGATAATCTCAGAAGTAAGCAGATTCTATGTGCTTAATCTTGTAGGTAATTTTCTCTTGAATTTTGTAGAAATTTGGATGCTTTAGTGATTATGTGCTTTGATGAACTTAACCATCCCTTTAATTCTTCTTCCAGAGAGCGCCTTGGCCTCCAGTTGGCTGAGAAGGCCAGTCAGAAGCATAGGATGAAAAAGGCCAAGGCTGCCTCTTCTACTGGGACCTCTTCGAACACCCCCGGCAGCAGACACACCCCACATTCGTCACTGCAGAGAATCACCTCCATGTCTCCAGCAGCACAGAAGCTTCTCACAAACAAACTAGTAGTTAGACAAGGTACTGACAAAGCCTTGAGAGCTTCTTACACTCCATCGCCAAGCATTCACCGAGGTTCCTCAACGCCAGGAGCTATCACACCAAAGACTGACTATCTCTCCAGTGCACACAGAACGAACACGCCGAAAATTAAGAAAATAAGAACCCCATCAGCATCTGTTGAAGATCCATCCCCTGGGCTCACAGACAATCTCCTGAACTTGCCTCGGAGAGCAAAGATAAGCTCTACACAAGGTAGCAGTGAGTCACAGGAAGGCCCTAGAAAGCGTGCGGCTGATTTCTTTTGAGTATGCTGAACACACATGGGTATTTAGACTTTGTCTATGGAATACTAATACTATAACTGTCAAATTGTGATGCTCAAACTTTGTGTATAAGGTGCAAGACAGTTTGTAAAACAGAAAGGAGAGGGATTGGAAAGGTTTCATATTAAGGATATGACTTCAGTCCCAGCTCTGTTGTGCCTTCATCCTCTTCCATTGGCTGTTCGCTCATTATGTACATTAATTATCCTAGCAGTACTTACCTTCCATAGATCTTATCTTAAAGAGCTAAACAGTATTCCTTGAGTTGGCTTATCTTATCTACTGTTGCAAAATTTCCATACTGGAAGTGGTACTATACATCATCTGTGTCATATTACTATGTATATATACACATCTCTCTTTAGTGTTTATGAAATCATGCTATCATTTCCATTATCTTAAATTTCATTTTGTTGCAATGTTTCCTTTGAATTAGTGCCACAAGTGGGAACAATTCTAAATCATCACATTATCATACTCCAAAGTATGAAAATCTCTCTATATATATTTATTGAATAAATATTGGTCAAAAAGTCTTGATGTATTGCAAAAGAAGATCTGAAGATTATGTTACTTAGGACCTTTCTCCCTTTTGTATATTTTTCTCTTTATAGTGTCATGTTTCCTAAAGAGAGAGGAGATGGCCGAAACACATTTGATTGCCTGAAGTGCTTTAGTCAAGGGATGTATGTGAAAAGGATGGTGAAATTCTTAAGTAGTATTAATATAGCACCACTATTTTATCATATCTTATCAGGTACCTAAATGGAGATGGTTAGTGAATATATGACTGTGTTTGTAAGTAAAAATAAAATTATTCAAATAAATATGTGTTATGTCCTGTGTTGTGAGGGGCAAAGATATAATACATGTGACTGTATACAGTGTTTACAGGTAATTGTGCATTAAGATAAGAAATTTGTTTAGATTTATAATGGTTAATATTGCCCTCAAAGTGATAATACATATTTCTTAATACAAAAGTTTTTTTTTCTCTAACCATAAACCTTAATTTGCAACAGATTCAACAAAAGACATGTATTGACATCTGAATATTAACTCCCGCAAACATTAATATGAGTTGAAACAAAATTGAAATGCACTTGCACAAGAAATGTGCTTGTTTTAGTCTTTTACTTCAGGCTTTCTAGAATTGTTGACTTTATTTATTTGCAGTTATATCCTGAACAGGCAACTGCACATTAAACCAACTGGCTACATTTACATGTACTGTCCACTGTATTTTTTGTGATTTTTGTAGCACACAGATGGCTCCACAAGTCATTTAGTAGCCCACAATAACTGATTTCCTCAATTCCAGGATTTTTAGGGAAAATGTTTTATTCTAATACTACTACTACTATTGTTATTATTATCAATGATATTATAATTATTATTATGTTAATAAAATATGAATTGCAATAAAAAATAAAAAGAATATGAAAATCAAGGAAAAGGACTACTAATTTACTTCTTGATGACTAAGTAGTTGTGGAACCACCTGTGTAACACAACAAATAAACTAAAATCACAGTGGACAAAGCATGTATGTCATGCCATCCCTGCACCATAGGTTAATGTACAAGTACAAGTCTGCTGCCACAGACTTCTGCAACTCCTTTTTATCAGTTGAGAAGCTGGTGGCAAATGAGGAACTGAGATTCTTCACAAAGCCCTGGGCAATGATGGACAGTTATGGCAACTAGTGGCACCATGTGAATATGCGCATTTGAAATAATCACCAACTCGAGTGACAGCAACTGGTAGTGATATTTGTCACTACCAGTTGTCATTTGTCAATGATCAAAACATTGCTTTATTGATATGTACAGCGGTAGATTGCCGTACCTACTTGCCCAAGGCTGTTGCGAATATCTTTGAAGCCGCTCAAGCTGTCTAGCGTGAGAAGGATGGCAAACAATCTGCAACACAGATGAATCAAATGGTAATGGCATTGAGGCTATATTCCTCAAGTGCTGTGTGAGCTGCTGAGTCCGCAGTTGCAGTAAAGAAACACTTGTGCTGTTCACTGTAGCTCACAATCCCACATCTTTAGTATAGTAATAGTTACTATAACGACATGTAACTGCTTTTCACGTTTTTCACTGGGCCAGTGCGATGTGCCATGATAGAAGTGGTTTTACAGAGGAACAGGGTGAATGCATTAGCATCTTTGCTTATATTTTTATATTTTGATATTGATTTTTGATGCGCAGGGTGAAACAAGATGTGTTTGCGTTAGGAGCCTGTGGAGATTGTTTGCGAATAAGTGTTGTTGGCAATTGTAGGGG